AAGCTTGTTGTCTGAGTCGACAGGGCTCATTCAGATCTGATCAGAGACCAGTCTGCTAGTCTGCTAGTCTCTTTAAGCTACACTCAGCCTGGGACCTTTCTGTGACTTGTGGTTCTCAGTATATTCACTCCTAGGTAGGCTGATAACCAGTTTATACCAACTGCAGAGAAACCCGGACTCCTGGAGCATGGTGGAAGCCAGTAACCTCGACCCACTCTCCATCACCAGGGTACTAGCTGTCTCCATCGTCCCCCCTACTGCCTAGTCTAGGGAGTCCCCTTTCTTCCTGGGGAACTTATTCTTTGTTTCAAATTCCAATCCCCCCTCTCTCTTTGGGTCTTAGAAAAAGCTCCCCTTTCTCACCCTGGGAATGAGTTATCTCCACAGCAGCAGTGAAATAAGACAGACGTTTATCTGGCACCATATGATACTCCCATAGCATAGAAATATTTTTAGTCAGATGCACATCATCTGTGGGCTAAGTCAGCCACTAAATGAGATGCAAGCATGTAAATAAATTACTTTGATAATTTACTATTCCTGGGAAAACAAGGCTGCAAGTAAAGGTATAGGGCTGAGTTGGGTGTGTCATATCCAGACATATATGCTAGAAAGTTCTTGCCTCAGCCTGGGAATGATGGTGAGTGATGAAGACCAGTACGGGCAGAAAAGAAAAAGGAAAAGTGAATGAGGGTGTGTGTGAAGAAGAAATGGCAGGATTTGGAAAAAGACTTGATGTGGAGATGAATGAGACAGGGGTCAGAGATGGCTTTTTTTTTTTTAGCAGAAATTGGAAAATGAGGAAATGAGGAGTGTGAGTTTTCTGTGTGCAGTGGTGGTGCACTCTCTGGATAGACATGTCTGCCAGAAAATGGAAATGAAGGAGTAGATTCCCAGGGGGAAGTCAAGACAGCTAGGCCTTACCTGCATCCATCTTCTTAGAGTGAAAACGGGCCGTGGGGAGTGGGGGAAATCTTTGACAAGTGTGTGAGTTTTACTACGTTGCACCCAGAATGTCACCTGACCTCTGACCTTTGCGTGCATCAGAGTGAGGGGCTGGTGGGAGTGAGTTATTTCTTTCAACAACGGGTCATGGCAATTTAGTGTCTGATAGTGATGTGCAGTGCCACCACCTCTGGGTGAGGCAGAAGGTGGAGGTCATCAGAATCACTATTCACCTAGCCCATGACTCACATCAGGCCTGGTTTCACTGCCAAGAAAATGTGAATGAGGAGCTGCAGAGAGAGAGTACAGGCTTAGGTACTTGCCTTCTGCAACATGCCAACTCTGGTTCCATCCCAGCACCATATAGGGTTTCCCTGTGCATCACCAGAAGTGGTCTCTGAGCAAAACTAAGCCCAGAGCATGTAGGGTAAGGTCCAACACCCCAGCACCCCCCAGGAAAAAAAAATGAAGAAAGAAAGAAAGAAAGAAAGAAAGAAAGAAAGAAAGAAAGAAAGAGAAAAGGTGAATGAGTCACTGATGGGAGGCTGCTAGATCCCATGCCCCCCATTCTGCCTTGATCACGAAGAGCTTTCCTGATTGGAATTAATTGCAGCCTGTTAAAAAACAATCCCACAATACAGGGATCTGGTCCACTTGTTTAGTATTTGGAACTCTACAAAGCCAAGCTTAACACGACTTGGGAATTCAATAGCCTGAGGCCCACTTGAAATAGTTCCTGTTTGTTTTCTGAAAGGAGATTGGCACCTTTCAGCAGCTTTTTGGATAAAAAAGCCAATGTTTTCTGATGCAAAGGATGACTCAGGGTGTAGGGAGGGGTTGGCCAGTGCAGTAGTCAGCGCTTTGGCCTCAAGAGTCAGAGGTCCTTAGCAGGGAGATCAGTTCAGACAGAGGCAGTGGAGACACTTACTAGAGCTGCCCACACATACTAAGAATCATGGCCACGGGTGGCCACCAATCCTTTGCATGGGCATCCCACAAGCTGGGGAAGGGAAACTGGAAACACTGCAAGGGCAGCCAGGGGAGACACAAAGGAGGTAAACATAACTTTGCTTTTCCCACTGATTATTCATTCTGTCTGAGACAGATGAGCTAAAATGCACTGCAGTAAGGACCACTTCCTCATCAGAGGCATTTAAAACAGCCTTGCTTCTGAATTGCTAACTCTGAGCCCACCCCAGGATGCCCCAGGGCCTTTTGGTTTTGTGATGATGGAGTACCCCTGCCCCTCACCTCCCCCCCCCCCCCCCCCCCAGTACACACAGACACCTTGAAAACTCTTTTTGCTGTTATAGGGGACAGAAAGACTGCACTGCAGAGCATTTTGTCTGGGCTGTTAAATGCCTCTATCGTCCTCTGCATGTTGTTTCTGCTCAGAGCAGCTCATCCAAAGCCGAACCAATGCCTAGGAGCCCGGAAATGTGGGCTTACTTGGGCATCTTCCCCAAGGCAGATGTTGGCAGTGTGCAGCAGACAGGATTTTCTACAGTCTCCCCCATGGGGACCAGGACAAGGATGAGAGAATGCCATCCCTCACTGTGTCACTTGCAGGCATCTCTTCCCCTGGCCAAGTTGGTTCAGAGATGGTAAAAGGCAATTAGGAGAAGGCAGCCAGAGGGGCAGGATGAATCCTTCAGCTTCTCCTCCCACCCCTTTAAAGGACTGGGGGCCTCCTGAGCCAGCTGGCCCCCATTAAGCCACTTTGCTTAGCCTGGTGGCAGTGACAGATCCTCCCTGCTTGGAAGGTTGCAGCTTCCTCTATAAATCAAACCCAAAGAGGGAAGCAGCAGTGATGATTAATAGGGGGACCTGGGATCTAGACTGTAATCAGCCCAAGATTTGTCACCAGAGTTGGAGATGGGGATGGAGCTCTCAGGGATGATTCAGGCCCAGGGTTGCTGTCTCTAAACATGTTAATTATCTCAGCATGAGTGGCTGAGATAGATGATTAGAAATGTAGAGATAAGCTTGGGAAAAGTCACTACCATTGTTTCCAGGTCTACCCCACTCAGCTTTGAGAAGTAATTTTCTCTCCAAATGGGAAGGCGGGACTGGAGAGACAGGTACAGGGGTTAAAGCCTTGGTCCTGTCCACAGCCAGCCTCCCTTTGATCCCAGACCTCATCTGATTCACCAGGAGGCTGAAGTTCATAAGGGCTGGCTGCACCCCCTTCGCCCACTGAGGTCATTATCTCTTATATTTTGGTTCTAGGGCTGCTGAAAATTGAAGATTTAAAGGTGTGGGTTAATGTAGCTCATTTGTTCTTCAGGGGATTTGAGAATAAAGAAGTTACTTTAACGCCAAGTGGCGTTTCTTGTGTGGGTGCCTCCGCATGCACTTGTTCCCCCCACCCCCACCCCTTACACTTTATATAAACACTGTGGTTTACAGAGTTGTTCATGATGATCTGTTACAGTCAATATTCCAACACCAATCCCACCACTGTTATACCTTCCCATCACCACTATTTCCAATTTTCCCAATTACCCCTTAAGCCTGTCTCCATATCAGGCCCTCAGTAATTTATTTTATATTGCTTGTTATAAATAATTTTCTAAAAGAATAATCAAAAAATGTTTCCTTGGAAGAAAGTTAGTGAAGATTGTTATGTCTCACTATGGAGCTGTTGTATAAGGGATTGCTAAGATGTTGTTAGAGCTTAAGGCTTCTGTGTTTGTATTTTGTTAATTGAGATTATTTGCCTTTTACATTACCTCCCATCCAGTCTGGTGTGCTACTCCTGGTTTATCAGTGTGTAGACTTTGAGATGTTGTACAGAAGCTTCAGGAAATCAAAAAAAATTTTTTTTTCCTTTTGGGTCACACCCAGTGATGAACAGGGGTTACTCCTGGCTCATGCACTCAGGAATTACTCCTAGCGATGCTTGGGGGACCATATGCGATGCTGGGAATCAAACCCTGGTTGGCCACGTGCAAGGCAAACGCCCTACACGCTGTGCTGTTGCTCCAGCCCCAGGAAGTCCAAAATTGTTAACGGGTGATACAACTGGAGTTAAATTTTTAACTAGGTGGTGACTCTGGGGGGTGTACATGACTGCTGGGCCTTCTGGAAGCACAGATGGGGAGGAAGTAGCCTGTCCATGGAGTTTTCAATCATAAAACCCAAATACCTGAGTTTTTCAGCAGATGAATTTCTGGATGAGGTTCATCTGAGCAGTGGAGTTCGGCCAGGAGCATGGTGATGATTGTGGAGTGTGGAGGGTTTTGGATGCTGGGGCTGTGGGTGAGTGCAGGGCTCATTTCCCCACCCTCCTCACCAACATCCCTGCCTCCCCTCCCTGGGGTGCCCTGGACAACCTTGAGTGGGGTCTGGAACAATCTCTGCAGTTTGTTGATCTCTTTCGATATTTATTTATGAGTCTCTGGCTCATGGCGGGTGAATGAGCTTACTTAGCGTTGGAGGCAGTTCTGCATGCACGTGTACTTAATGGTGTCTCCCTCAGTATCTACCCCTCTGGACCACTTTGCACATCTGATTAAACTGAAAGAGGGAGCCCAAAGGTTGTTTATGTTCCATCAAAAGAAATACCAGTGTGTGAGTCCACTGCAGGCCGCTTTCCCGCCAGCCCTGCTGCAGACATAGACTCTGGGTCAGTTCATTTTGCTTTATCAAGGATTCTTTTCAGCCTAGGCACTATGCAGAATGCTTTGCCAGTAGAGATGTGCAAAAATGGAACAAGAAAGTTGCTAGAATAGTGAAAGGGATGCTTGTGGGGGGGGGGGGGGAGGGGAGGGAGAAGCTGGAAGGAGGGTGATCACACCATAAGGGATAGGTCATGAGAAGTACCCCCCAGAAGAGGGTCAGAGAGCATGGACCGGGGCAGAAGAGTATCTGAGTGGCCAAGTGCAGACCAGCTGGGTGGGCAGAGCATCCTTTGAAAAAGTCATCTTCTGTGTTGCTTCTGAGTGATGGCATGTGTCTCTTGAATGTGTTGGATGGAGGCAGTTTGGGGGTACAAGTAACTGCTGTAGAGTTTTTCCTGCTTCACCCTAGTTTGTGTCTCTTTCCCTCCTCAGCTGGTCCTGCCAGAATATTCCATCCACAGCCTCTTCTGCATCATGTTCCTGTGTGCGCAGGAGTGGCTCACCCTGGGGCTGAATGTCCCGCTGCTTTTCTACCACTTCTGGAGGTAAGTCTACCTGGGACTGGTCTGTTCTTTCTGCTTAGGCAAGGATATCACCCAAGTGGTTAGTGACTGAATGCCTTCCTCTTCTCCTGCTCTGGGGGAATATCTCCTTAGCATGTCCTTCCTAAGGTAGTTTTAGGCAGTGAGAGGATGCCTCTCTGTGGGTCCCATAAGCTATGGCCTCCACCCCATTAATGGCTGTTGGGAGTTATGAGAGCCCCCAAGTGGGAGCTACCCCAATGTCTATCAAGAGAGGAATGGAGAAATCAAAGGTGGTGTAGCCCTTACAATGGAATATTATTTAGCAATAAAAAGCAATGGGGTACTGGCACAGGCAAATCCAGGGATGGGTCTTGAAAAATAAAAAGATAAGTAGGAGAAGCCACTCATAAAAGACTCTTTATAACTAATGTCCTGAGTAGGGAACTCCATGGAAACAAACTGGTCTCTGCCAGATCCTGGATAGGAGGAAGAATGTGGAGAGATAGCTGATGGATTTAGGGTTTTTATTTCAAGGTGATGAAAATGTTCTGACATTAGATGCTGGCAATGGTTGTACAACTCAATGAATATCCTACCCCTACCCCCCAGTTGTATCCTTTTAAAAGGGTTGAGATTTTTTCATATGGATTGTTTTATTTAATTAAAATATTTGCGGCAACTTTTGAGCTGCACCCAGGAGTTGCTTAGGGCTTACTCCTGACTCTGTGCTCTGCTCAGGGATTACTTCTGGTGGGACTGGGGAACCATAACTGGGGATGAAACCCAGGTCTGCCACATGCAAGGCAAGCCCCCTAACTGATGTACCCTCTCTCTCAGCCTCTGAATTCTATTTTAATAAGAAGCAGGGACTGGAAAGACAGCACAAGGGTTAAGGTGGAGAGAGGTAACCCAAGCTCCACCAGAAGTGATCCTTGGGCACAGAGCCAGGAGGAAATCTTGTGCACAGTTCAGTGGCCCAAAGCCAACAGCAACAACAAAGTAATTAGAGTACCTACCAGATGGGTTGGATTTTTTCTATAATGGTATGATTTTATTTATTTATTTATTATTTTTATTTTTTTGCCCTTTTGGTCACACCCAGCGATTCTCAGGGGGTTACTCCTGGCTCTGCACTCAGGAATTACTCCTGGCGGTGCTCGGGGAACCATATGGCATGATGGGAACCGAACCTGGGTCAGCCGCATGCAAGGCAAATGCCCTACCTGCTGTGCTATCGCTCCAGCCCCTGTGATAGTTTTGATTTTAATGTTCTTTCCTTGGATCTGGGAGGTGGCTCTGTTGCTAGTGCACCCATCTTGCAAGCTCAATTCCAGTGTGGCCACCTGCACCAAGCACCAGCCTGTGTAATAGCTCCTCTACCTGTACTTGACAGCTCTGCCATCTGTAATTCCACACTGTAGGTCACTTCTACTCCCCTGCAGTCAGCTGTGTGTGAGCCCTGAAGCTCTTGGGCATGAGACTCTAGAGCACCACAGCTAAAAAGATGTGCTAGCACTGTGGCAGGGAATGCAAGTGAGCCCATGTTCGGGCACTGCAACTAAAAACTTGTGGTGAACACCACAACCAAGCATGTGTGTGACTGCCTGGTCTTTGTAGCAGCAACATAGAGGAATAGGAAGGAGAAAAGAAATGCATAAATAAATATTCTGTTCCTTGCTAAGATCATGCCTAGCTCATAGAACTTCTGTGTTGGGTATAATATAGTCACTGTACTGGTAGCAGGAGGATAATTACAGAGGTTGTAAAGCATGAAACTGTGCAGATGAAAAGTGCAGATGAAATTGTTACCTTCCACCCCCAGATTTCAGAGTTTTGTTTTCTGGAAGCATTTCCACAGTGTCATTTCACCATAAGACATGGCCTCTATTTCATTCCATCTAGAGCATGGTTCCCTCATTTGGCCAACACGGGAAAACATACAACGTGCCAGAAATTATGTGAGATAAAACTATCATTTTTAGGAGCTGGTGTGATAGTACAGTGTATAGGACATTTGCCTTGTATGCTACCAACCCAGGTTTGATCCCTGGCACCCCCTATGGTCCACAGAGCCCTTCCAGGAGTGATTCTTGAGTGCAGAACCAGGAATATGCCCTGAGCACTGCCAAGTATGGTCCAAAAACAAACAAAAACAAAAATATTATATTTACCATAAGGAATGGGGCTGGAGCGATAGCACAGCGGGTAGGGCGTTCGCCTTACAAGCGGCCAACATGGCCGACCCGAGTTCGATTCCTCCGCCCCTCTCGGAGAGCCCGGCAAGCTACCGAGAGTATTCGATATACCAGACACAGTAACAACAAAGTCTCCAATGGAGACGTTACTGGGCCCGCTCGAGCAAATCGACGATCAACGGGAGGGCCTTTACCTTTACCTTACCATAAGGAATAGAGGGAAATATATAAACATATACCTGAGGAGTATATGTAGAGTGCAAAAACATTTAAATTGAACTGGAAAAGTCACATTGGGACATCTGGAAACTCCCATTCCAATTGAAGAACTAGCATTTGCAAATGTCCAGAGTTGAACTCTGATTGTGTTTGGGAAACAGTCATTGTTCTAGTGTGACCAGATGTGGACTTCATGGAAGGAGTAATCAGAGATAGGCTGACAGCTGGAACTTAGACATTGGGACCTGAAATGATTTGAGGAGGAAGCCTGAATTGATTTGTTCTGTGGGGAATAGATAGTGACAAGAGCTTTGGAAGAGAAAATAAATGTGAATCTGACTAGGCCTGATTTTCAGAAAAGTAACCCTATTTTCAGTGTTGAGATGGGTTGGAGGTGATTTCTTTTCTCCCACTTTATTTAAACACGATGGTTTACAAAGTTGTTCATGATGATTTGTTATAGGCATTTCAATATTTCAGCACCAATTCCATCCACCGTTGTCTCCATTTTCCTAACCACCCCTCAAGCCTACCCCTGCAGCAGGCCAACAATAATTTATTTTATATTACTCGTTACCACTGAACAGCTAACAGGATGATAAAAAACATTTCTATAGAAGAAAATTTGTGAAAATTGTTGTATTTCACCCTGGGGACATTAAGTCCTCATCTGAGGGTTTACTAAGCTGTTGTTGCAAGTTAAACCTTCCGTGTTTATGTTTTTACTAGTCAAGATTGGTTGGCTTCTGTGTTACTTCCCCATCCAATCTGGTGTGCTGCAACTGAATTGTCTGTGCTGTAGACTTTGGAGATGTTGCACAGCCACAAATGTAACTGTGAGCTCCAGAAAATCCAGAATATTTAATTGGGCAGTTTGATCAGAGGCACGGGGGCTGCTTTTGGGTATGGGTGCAGCTGTCAGGACTTTGCTAGGGAGAGAGCTGACCTGTCCATCTCTGAAATCTCCCTGGAAGTCTCAGCCCAGAATGAGTGTCTGAGAAATTTTTGCAGCTAGTTGACGATTTCTCGAGATTTATTTATGAGTCTCTGGGACAGTCAGTAGATGAGCTTATGTGGTGGTGGCATGGAATGTGGGCATGGCTGCTAGTCTTCAGAAACTATGGAGAGGTAGAATGAGGTCGCCCATCCCAACAGAGGTGAAGCTTTGAAGATGAAATTAAACTTAGAAGGTCATGGAGGAGTTCCAGATGAAGAGAAGGTGAAGGCTTGACTTGGGTAAGGAAAACTGGGATGGAGAGAGAAAAAGATTTATGAAGGTGAACTCGACAAAACTTGGCCAAAACTTTGGTGCAGGAGGTGGGAGAGGGGAACATCTCAGCCACGTGGTTGAGAGAGTGTTGGTGCCATTGATTGAGGCAGGAGAACAAGAAATTTCAGCTTTGGAGAGAAAGGAAAAGGATTCAATTACATAAGAAAATGCTGTTTTAGGTAAGCTATTCAGATCTGAACTCTGAGAGAAGTCAAACAGAAGTGAACTGCGGCATAATATGTTCTGGGTGGGATTGGAGAGCTAGTCTAGGAGTTAAGGCACTCGCCTTACACACAACCAACCCAGGTTCAATCTCCAGCACCAACTATGATTCCCCAAGCCCTACTAGGTGTGACCCCCCAGCGCAGACTCACAAGTAAGCCCTGATCATGGCTGGGGACAGTCCCGAACCAAACCAAAACCCAAACAAAGATGCCCTGGGTGAGTTACTCCCTGTCTGATTTCTACACATGGAGTGACATTAACACAGTCCCAGCCAGTGCCCAGAGTGACCCAATGCAAGACATGGCAGGACCAGAATTAAGTCCTGCTCCCTCCATGGTGTGACTTAAACTCACTAGGCACATTGGTTCAGGGTGCTGCTCCGTGCCCTGGTTTCTCGTTCACTGCCCCGGTTGCTTCCACAAATCACAAGAACAGCTGAAAAGGCAAGAGGGGAATTTGGGGCAAGAAAGCAACTTATTGCAATTTGCTGCGTTATCATCAAAGAATTCCTCCGCCCCTCTCGGAGAGCCCGACAAGCTACCGAGAGTACCTCGCCCGCATGGCAGAGCCTGGCAAGCTACCCGTGATGTATTCAATATGCCAAACAAAGTAACCACAAAGTCTCCATTGGAGATGTTACTGGGCCTGCTAGAGCAACTCGATGAACAACGGGAGGACAATGACAGTGACATTATTTTTTTTTATTGGAGTAAAAAGCAGGATGTCACCATTATGTGAAGCTTTTTAAAATATGGTGACAGTATTACTTAAAAACAGGTATAGCAGTTATATAATGGTGACAATTAGATGGTGAAATCCAGTAAGTCGGGCAGGATGTTTAACTGGTAGGCTGGAGAGCAAGCTTCAAAAAGAGGCCATGAGTGGGGGGTGCTCTATGGAGGGCAATAGAGTTAGGTGACAGAATAAACTACACATATCTTGGGACTTTTCAGGAAAATTCACACTTAATTATGAGGGAGGCAGGTGCGGAAACAGTTGAAGACTATACTATGAACATTTTTTGAAATGGCAGAGCAAATGCTGGGTGGTTTGTCTGATCATGAGGAGATAGGCGCTGGACAGGAAGGCAGGCTCCAGTGCTCAGTGTCCACTGGCCAGTATCATCCTAATAGGAATTTGAAGCCACTATGGGTGCAAAAGTATCTGGGCCCAATCAAAACCTAAAGAATGGAACAAGATGCTGCTTCCAGAAAGGATCCAGAAAGGATCCTCACACTATAGGTTTCAGGCCCACCTATTCACACTTTCATTTATTTTGGTTTTGGGGCCACACCCAGCAGTGCTCAGAGTTTACTCCTGACTCTGTGCTCAGGGATCACTTTTGAAAGTGCTAGGGGCTTCATATGTAGTGCTGGGAATCCAGCCGGGGTCAGCTGCATGCAAGGCAAGCACCTTATCCCCTGTGCTATCTCTCTGGTCCCTGTTTGCACTTGCTTAATCCCAGGAAATTTGCCTGAGTTTGCATAGGCAGTGTGTGTGTGTGGGGGGGGGGGGGAGGGGGGATAGGAGGGAAAAGGATGGGCGAATTTTTTTATTATTATTATTGAATCACTGTGAGATATAGCTTTCATGTTTGAGTTTCAGTCATACAATGATCGAACACCCATCCCTCTACCAGTGCACATTTTCTACCACCAATGTCCCCAGTATCTCCCCTCCCCATCCCACCCCTCCCCTTGCCTCTATGGCAGACAATTTTTTGAGGGGAAGTTTTGATTATTTGATTCACAGGCGATTAACAATGTGGTCAGCCTGCAAATTGCTGACTGGTGCACTGTACTCCTGTCTTTCACTGCTCCACACAGTAGGGATGGGGGAGCTAGCGGAGACCCCTCTTCATGGAATCTCTCTTTTTAAAAGAATTACCTGTAATCACCTTGCCGGTGGAGATTGTGTCTTCTGTTTGTTAAATTCTGATGAGTTCTACCTTAGATCCGGGCCGTTTCGAAGTATTCAGAAAAGGCAATGAAGAGAACATTTCAAACCAGAGACCTGGGACTGGAGAGATGGTTCAGAGATTAAGGCTCTGCCTTGCATGAGGGTGTAGCTGCCACTCCAGTTCTAATACAGGTGCCCTGAGCACTGCCTGGTGTGGACCCCCACAAACAAATTAAAAAAACAAAGTGCTAGAACAGCCTCTTCCCGTGCCCCCAACAGTCCAATCTGGTGTTTCCATACAGAGTCTCCTGGTGTGGGTTATATACCTACAAAAAAGCAGAATTGCCACTATTTATTTGATGCCCATCTTGTGTGCATCATTTGTGTCCAGCACCTCCCATCATTCATAGCTAGCAGAGCCTGAAGTAGGCAGCACTTTTAGCCCCTTTGCTGATGAGAATGCCAAGGCTCAGAGAGGTGAGTGTCTAGGGTGGCAGAAAGCAGGGAGGGCACTTGCCTTGCATGCAGCCAACCTGGGTTCGATCCCTGGCTTTCCATATTGTCCCCCCAAGCATGGCCAGGAGTGATTTCTGAGTACAGTCAGGAGGAATCCCTGAGCATTATTGGGTATGGCCCCAACCCAAATAAATAAAAAAAGAGGTCAGTGGCTAGTGACCTGGACACCAGCAAAGAACACTCTAACTGAGTAATTTTTCACTGAGTCTCTCGGCCACTTAGTGAGGCCACTGGGGAACCAGGTCAGAGCACCAGCGAACAGAGTTTGCAATCAGCTCCTGAGGAGAAATGACTGGAGAGTCAAGATCTGGAAGAATCCATTTAATCTGATTGGGGGCTTCACTGGGGTGGGTGTGGATGACAGATAATGTCAGACCGAGGCTCTGAAGGGAATGGGGGACAGAAGTGTCAGCTCTCCCAGTGGCTGTATTCCATGGATGGTCTTCAAAGGCTGTGCTTGAGGCTCCTGGTCCCAGCCCAGCATCCTGGTCCCTGTGCAGCAGTGAGAGCCTCAGCCTGCCCTGGCCTCTAGGAAGCTGTTCACCTTCCCCCAGCCCCTCTTTTTGGAACAACGCCAGTTCCCATGGCACCACTGTGATATTGTGAAGTAAAGGTTGCTTTGGACCTGAGGTTCCCAAATTTATTTGGTCCATCACCCACCCCTTTTTCAGAAAAAGAAAAAAATGAGCCACTGTTCCCTTTAAAAGCTACCTTCTTTAGGGAGCACCAAATAAAGGGTTTTTGGAGGATCCTTCCAGGAGGGGAGACGCATGTTGAAAGTAGACTATGGACTGAACATGTTTGCCACTCAATGCCTCTTTTGCAGACCACAACACCCAAAAGGAGAGAGAGAACAAAAGGGAATGCCCTGCCACAGAGGCAGGGTGGGATGGGGGGGATGGGGGTGGGAGGGATATTATCCATGGTGGTGAAAAATGGGCACTGGTGGAGGGATGGATATTTGATCATTGTATAATAGAAACCCAAGCACAAAAATTTGTAAATCTACAACTGTACCTCATGGTGTTTCACTAATAAAAATTAAAAAAAAAAAACTACCTTCTTTGAGTGAATGAACAGAAAATGCCCCCTCCCCAACACACCCAAGGATACTGCCTTACCACAACTGTCTCCCTGGGTGGGGGGCCAGGACTCTCTGATCCCTCCACTCTTCCTGTCATGTCCTGTTACTTCCCCAGTCTCCCTGTGGAGCTGCTCATGCTCTGTGATGGCCAGTTTGCCACTCTGAATCTTTCTATCAAATACCTGTCAATTTTTTCACACGCCAGAGAAGATGAAGAAAAAAAAGTGGGGTATGATCATTACATGAAACCTAAAATAAAATTTACATGGGTTAGAGAAATAGTACAGAGGGTAGGGCACCTGCCTTGCACGAGGCTGACTCAGGTTCCCCAGCATCCCATATGGTCCCCTGAGCACAGAGCCAGGAGTATGCATTGAGCACTGCCATGTGTGGCCCCATAATAAAAAACAAATGAAAAATACCCACTGTACCTCCCCCCAAAACCAAATTTAGGCGGGAGCTGGAGAGATAGCACGGTGGACAGGGTACTTGCTTTGTACAGGGCTGGCTTGAGTTCGATCCTTGGCATGACATATGCTCCCCCCAACGCCTGCCAGAAGTGAGTTTTGAGCACTATTGGGTGTGGCTCAGAAATGAAAAGAAAAAAAAAACAGACAAAAACCTTATGCTTGTGTTCCTTCAAACAAGGATGTAACTGCTATGGTTTGCTGATGATTATGTGGTGAAATATGGTAATTCGTGATTCTACTAGAGGATGGGCAATGGCACCTGGGAGTAGCAATGGCCCCTCCAGGCCCCCACCTAATTCTGCTCTTATTGCAGTGTGGTCACAGGCTTTGAACCCCTCTACATCCTAGAAAGCAAGGCTCCTCCTGGACCTCCCAGGTGATACTAAGTGACGCATCTTTTCTTCCATTGGAGCATCCAGTCTGTAATTTGGGAAAGACATTCACTGCTCTTAGCAGTGAATCCCCCAGGGATGACCTGACTTAGGAGGGCATGGCTTGACCCCTTGAGATGTTCCTTCTGAGCCTCAGACATGGTGATGCTGTATCCTCTTCATCTACAGGTATTTCCACTGTCCAGCTGACAGCTCTGAACTAGCCTATGACCCTCCAGTAGTCATGAACGCCGATACCCTGAGTTACTGCCAGAAGGAGGCCTGGTGTAAGCTGGCCTTCTATCTCCTCTCCTTCTTCTACTACCTTTACTGGTAAGCTTATTGGGGCGTTGACTCCTGCAGCAAATGGAGAAAATTTGGGGGCCAGCAAAGACTGGGAAGTCTTTGCAAGGTGAAACAGCGGACACTGGGTTTGATCTCAGCTGTGTGGTTTAGGGGAAGGGCTTCTGGGTAAGGTTATGGAGCTTAAGCTCTGGTTCCGCCCCCAAGTGTGTACAGTGCCATGGATTAGAAGATACTCTAGCAATGTTTTAGGGCAGTCTCAGGAAGTACAGCTTTCCCCTCTGCTTCTAGCAGCCTCTGCCCTCCCCACCTTCCCTGACACCCCTTTTCCACTAAAATCCTCTGCTCCCCCTTTCCCACCCATTTGTTAGCTGCTGCATTCCTGAAAAAGACCCCCAAGAGGCTGCCCCACTCACTGCACAAAGTCATTAAACGCTTACCTTGGAATTCTCTCAATATTGCATAATACTATCCTATTTAGGTAGAACATGGTGACTTTGCCATCCAGTTTCCGAAATTTCCCCCTTCTTCACCTCTTTATGCAAAACTTCCTAGCTTCACTGACAGCTCAGAACAGATCATCTCATGGTTCGACGCCCTGGAGAGTGCCTTTTCTAAAAGCGCCGCTTCCTCTTTTCTTCCTGTTCCTCTTGAGTTCATCTCACCTGTCCCCTGGTTCCCCCCAGTGGCGGTGATCATTAGGGGAGGAAAAGGAGAGTGGAGATTAAGTTCCAAAGTCACCTTGGAGTTGAGGAGCTGGAGCAGGCTGGGAAGTGACTGCATTTGCTCAATGTTTAAAACCCAGCCGATTTAAGAAAAGACAAAATTGTGCAGTTTATCAATGGATTCGGAAAATATCATGCTGTGTGAAGTTGATCCAAAGGAGAGGGACAGATACAGAATGCTCCCCTCATATGGGGGGGGGAAGGGAAACAATTAAGGGTATAACAAATATCCAACAAAACATGGGAGCTGAGCTTATCATGGTGGGGAAGGTGTTTGTGAGAGGGTAGGGAGACAGAGACAAAGGTGGGAGAAGGGGACACTCTTGTGGAGAGCATGGTGTTGGAATATTCTAGGCATGAAATCCTTTCATTAACATTATTGTAAATCATAGTACCTAAAAGTGAAAAAATAAATTAGGAAAATAAAACTGAGCCTGGCTTTGCTAAGAACGTTCCATCTGTGGCTGGGCTTCTTAGTGGACTGCTATCATCACCTCTGTATTAACAATGAGGAAATGGATTCTGAGGCCTTAGATCATTTCCACATAGTCACAACCTTCAGCCCGGCTCAAGCCTGACCTCAAAGACTGCTACCCTCTAAAGCATCCTCTAAAAAAAGTCTTTATTGAAGTGTATTCTTCGGTCATCCCAGACTGGCATTGAGCATGTTGGAGGATGAAGAGGATATGTTTCTTCAAAAGGCAGATTCTTGGACTCTGAAGCTTTGCCTGTTTGGAGTTTCTGGGGTTAGGCATCTTGCCTCCTGGGGATGCCTCTCAGCCCCCTACCCCATCTGGGATCCTCAAGAGGTGAAAATGCAGAAGATTTGTCTATGCAATAACTCAGCCTTTGAGGGGATTCAGAGGGATTCACTGCGTTCTTCATTTCCAGGTTTGGTCCAGGGTCTGGGCCTCCTCCTGTGTAGAAGTTTCTGGAATGTAGGCTGCTACATCCTTCAGTTCTTGAGGAGATTTTTCAAAGATCTCGGGACTGACTTCAAGTCTCAATGATGACTGTCTTGGGAGAGGTGGGGAGTGGGCCCCCCCTATCACAGGCTTGACCCCGTCACCCCGTGGGCCAGTATGGCGACGAGGTTTCATCAGACCTTTCCTGGGTGAGGCTGTGGAGAGCAGCATTGAGCCGAGGGTCCAGAGGCAGTGCTACTCCTCCTCCAGGCAGCACCATGAGCAGGAGCTGGCTGGAGTCTGGAGTTAGGCTCCTCAGGCTCCCTCATTTGGCTTCTATTGCCATAACTGCTGGAGTCCACGGCCTAGAGGTGTGCCAACCCCACAGACAGGGAGCAAAATGGCTCAGTCTGCAGGCATGGAGGGGAGCTGGTGGCGACGTGGGGGCGGTGTTGGCAGCTTGAACTGCCAGTCAGATGGGTGTGATTGTTCTGTAACTGATTATGTTCCAGACATTCTGTTTGACGATCTGTCCTCGAGTCCTGTAGTTCATCTTGGCACTGTGCTAAAGTCGTTGATGACTCTGTTTCCACAACAACCTTCCTCTGCCTTTCTGGGGCCTTGGTGGGAGCAGGATTCCCCCAAACTCCATTGGTATATAGGTACACACACACATATATATATTTGGATTTGGATTTGGGATCACACCAGCCAGTACTCAGACTGACTTCTGGCTCTGCATGCTCAGGGATCACTCTTAGGGGTGCTCAGGGGACCATGGGTGCTGCTTGAAATGGAGCCCAGGTCAGCCACATGCAAGTAAAGTGCCTTTCTTTCTGGCTTGTCTCTATAGCCTTCTGTTTCATATTTTGAATAGAACCCATGGATCCTTTGAGCCCCCAGTCCCTGCTTCTCCTATCTCAGGAGTCCACCTGCCCCTTTTGCAGAACTAGTGGAGCTCACAGAACCATCACGTGGGGCCACTCTGCTGGGAAGGGAAGGGACCATGGGACTGTGTGCATGGAGAGTGTGTCAGAGCCGAGTGGAGCGATGGGATTGGGGATGTGCAGACAGCAGCCAGGAACCCTGCAAAGAGGGTCTGGTCTTTCAGTTTGAGCTTCCTGAGGTCCTCAGCGAGGCTAGGAAACGTGTTCAAGTTCCCAGCTGAAAGCCATTGCTCTGACAGTGCTCCCCTAGGGCACCCAGCACTGCCCCAACTAAGACCACCTGAGAGACCAGGGGACATCTGAAGGTTTCATAGGATGGAGGCTTGCTAATCCTGATGTGAATACAAGTGCAAGTGCTATGATTAAGACTAATACTGGTAACCACATCAAATGCATCAGTACTACTGGATAGTCTAATGGGAGGTTTGTCAACTCAGGAGAAAGGTAAATTTCAAGTCCAAGATTAAAGCAGGCTGTGGTTCTCCACATACCATAGTGTTCCCCCTTGCACCCCTTCTGCCTGATGACTCTGGATCATGCCTGCTTCCCCTCCACCACCCAGGGTTTACTTCTCTCTCTCTCTCTCTCTCTCTCTCTCTCTCTCTCTCTCTCATCATGTTCCTTCTTTGTGGTTTTCCTGGGCACCAGGGCGTCTTCTCTTTCATTTGCATCTGCTTCTAAGGACCTGGCACATAAGAGTGCGCCTCAAACCCTTAGCGTTGCTGACATTTGATTGTTTGATCCTGTGGGATGAACATTGGGGCTTTCCATGCTTTATTGTCTCCTCACCTGTGAATGGTGCCCACTAACACTGAGCAAGTGGTGAAAGATAGCGTGGGGGCGCGCCTAGGCATCCACAGGGAACTGCATTCCGACAGCAAGTGTGTGGCTCTGGGTTAGGCTCTGGCTGTTCTCCTCTGTCTCTAGCTGTGGGATCTTCAATAATCCGCTTATCCTGTTACTTAACTCCCCATTGTCAAGTAAGACCCTTTAGCTCCAGGTCCAATGAGTGAAGCTTGGTCACGCATTTGTGTCCGGCTCTCATAGCTGGAACTGCAACTTTCATAAGAGCCCATAAGGGCTTGGTAGCAGGAAGTGAAGTTAGAGTTAGACAGAAAACACTTCTGTTTCTTACTTTTGGGTCAACTTCGAGGGTTATATATTTTTTTTTACTTCCTGTTATTTGAAGAGATATTTTTTATTTTTTTCCCTTGAAAATGAACAACTTGCTATATTTTGGCACAGGATGTTCCTTGCAGTATTAGTCTTTGATGTTTTCTAAGAGCACAGAAATGCATGATGCACCCCCCCACCCCCTCTGATTAATGTCAGGGCACCCCCTTCTGGTACAAGTTCACAAGGCATGTGTTGAATAACGGATTTGTTCAAAGCAAGCAGGCTGGGGAGTTCCTGGATTGAGAATTCATTTTGTTTGTATGCCCAGAGGGTGTGTGTTCACACTCAGATACTTGTAATAGTGGTGATGAACATCTCCCCAGCACCAACACATGATCCTGCAGAATTTGGGATTCCCTAGACACAGCCTGGCAGGATCAGGAATCAGTAGCATGTCCATCCCTGGGGGCCCTGCCCCTCAATGGCAGGCAAGAGGAACAGCAGCGCTAATAAACCTTTTTGTGATGAGAATAAGCACGGACACTCAGAGCAATCACATCTTTCACCCAAGGGACACAGTCTGCTCATGGACTCAAAGCTCGGTCCTATATTGTGGGAAGCAGGAGGGAGTTGAGACAAGAGGCAGCCACAGACGGGGAAGAGAAGGGAGCCAAGAGTCTGGCTTCAGGAAGGTTCTTAAGGGCATCTGAATCCTTTGTGGGCCCCCCCCAACTAATGCCTCCTTTTCCTCTTCCTTTTGCATTTCTAGCATGATCTACACGTTGGTGAGCTCTTAACTCAAAGACCACACACGTCATCCAAGATTGGCAGCAGGGAGGCCCCAGACTGAGAAGTCCATTTCCGCTGGTGACTGGAGAAGGGCACAGAGAGGACAAGGGTGGGAAAGAACTGATGGACCCCGATGGAGTCCTATGGCAGCAGTGCTGAGCTGGCTGTGCTCCTGTGTTGTGACCTTGTGATTCATGGTCCTTGACATTTCCCATCCCACACTCGGGCTGTCAGTCCCTCTGGAGCAGTGACGCATGGGGGAAATCACTGATGGAACACCAACTCTCTCCCGAGTGATCCTTGAGGCTTCCTGCATCCACCTCTTCCGACAGCTCCCTACACACTCACCCCGAGCTCCTCGACAACCAGTGCAGACTAGAATCCACCTGCCCCTGAGGTCACCGCTGAGGACTGGGAAGACCCAAATCACAGCTGAGTCTGGGGAAATTCATTCAAGTCCTCCAGCATGTTTCAGGCACCCCAAAACTCATGGGGCATTTGCTCCAAGGCTGGGTCAGGCCCTGCACCTGCTCAGTGGGACTGAACGGGAAATACGCTGATTTGCCTTCAGCTGTAACCAGCCTTGAGTCTACTGAAGTGTCTATTTTCCTATTCTGCTTTGAGGCAGCCTGACTGTGTGATGTCATGAGCTGGGATTGGGGCAATAGGTGGGTAATGAGTTACGCGGAGGGGTGCAGAGCTGACCTGGGCACGGCACTCGTGGGAAAAAATGATTGGATAAAATATTTCCACCCATTCATCATGTTAGCTCCTCACCACCAAGAACTGTATTCTTCTTGCTACCCAAATGCATCCCAGAGTCATTGAATGCCAAACCCTCGGTCAACACTTGGCACAGTAACCTTACTTTGAGTAACCCCAAAAAGCTAAGAAAATGCCATGGGCATCTGCAGCCAAGAACAGAGGCAAAAAGATTATAACTTCCTTCTATGATGTGATGTTATTTATCCTGTTTAGTTGAAGGCAAAGTCATTAGCTTATTTAGAATTTTCCATTTGACATTCTCTCCTTTTTGGGGTAGGAGTTGTACTGGGGATTGTAAATAATGACAAAGTTGAGATTTTGATTGTGCTTCCATTGATCACAATTATTTTGACCTTATTCCTCAAAATTCCCTTCTTTTCTGCTGTTTGACACACACAGTCTATTTATTCATGTACCCAGTTTCTGTCTGAAACCTGTGACTCAAGTGTATGAATGGTGTTTTTGAAGCACATCGTGCTCTTTGTTTAAAATGCAGCAACCACTTGGGTGTCTCACTGATCTGACTGTCTCCTTTAGACCCCATTACTGTTCCATTTGTCTCCAGAGGGTTGGTAAACCAGCAGTTGGAGAAAAACAAGAACAATAAATTTTTTTGGTCATCTATTTTTTTTTAGAGCATTCCAAAACCGTTCATGATTGGATTTCTGTCACACAGTATTCCAACACCCATCCCTCCACCAGTGTACATTTCCCAGCACCAGTGTCCCTAGTTCCCTCCCATCACCCCCCACCCCCGGTGCCCCCAGGTTCTCTCCCATCACTCCCACCCCCTACCCCTTGCCTGCCTCTTTGGCAGGCACTTTTCCTCTCTCTCTCTCTCTCTCTCTCTCTCTCTGTCAAGAGAGAGACCATTCAAGAGTTCCAGACTGCATATACATATATATATATACATATATATATATCTGTATCTCCTTTTGGGCATTGTGATTTGCAATATTAATACTGAAAGAACAATTAATTTTAAAAAGGCATTTAGTTTCTAGAAATTTGACAAAATTCTGACTTCTGAGGCTGGATAACAGGGAAAGAAGGGAGAGAGAGGAGACAGAGAGAGAGCAAGAGAGAGAGAGAATAAAGTGAAAGTGGGGGGTCTGAGATATAGTATAAAGGCACTTGCCTTGATGTAGTCAATCCATATTTTATGCCTGGCACTGCCTATGATCCCCCAACCCCCTCCAGGAGTGAGCCGTGAACTCAAAACTAGAAGTAAACCCTGAGTAATGCCAGGTGTGGGTCCCAAAGAAAAACAACATCAAACACAAAAGGAGAACTTAATGTGATCTATCTGGGATCTGGCTCCCCTGAGGTCCCATACAGGGGTCTGTGACTGGGGAAGGCACATCTGGGGCTGGCTGAAAGTCGGTTCTGATGAGAGCAGTGACCTTATCCTGAGAAACAGGCTCTGGGCCTCTTCTCCCGCCACTGAAAGAGCAGCTGGGGCCTCTTCTGGGGCCTCTTCTCATCATGGAGCAGTGCTGTATGTTTTTAGACTTTGCCTCCCCCCTCCCCTGCCGCCCCTAAATTTGAAGTGGCTCATTATAGCAGATCCAAGTCCTCAAAACACAATAGATATGGAAGGAGGAAGTTTAGACTTATTCAGAAGGAGGTTCTGGAGTTCAGCTTCTGAGGTTATTTACTGAAACTGTTTTGATTCGATGATTTTTTTAGGAGTAATTAATATTCATCTCACATAGTGCTTTATGTTTTACAGATGTATGAATCTCATATGAATCACATTATAACATTCATAATATGCATCAACTCATTCTTATTTCCACAGTGTTTCACATGTTGCAGATACCTTCCATGGCTCTTCATTTGATCTTCCTCACAATCCTATGCCATTGAGAATTTTCCACTTGTCATTTTCCAGCTGAGGCACAGAAAGGGAAGCTGACTTACCTAGAGTCACACAGCAGCCAGAAACTTCCTTTGAACTCATGTGATCTGACTTTAAAATCCTATGTCCTTTCCATCACATCTGAAAGCTGCATGGCCTGGGCGCATGAAAGCTTAATGAACAGTAACTTTTTGAGAAAAGGGGATTTAAAAATCAAAATGTATAGAGGAAGTACCTGATTTTATTCTTCTGTGCTTGCTCAACCTTGTTCTGTGGCTTCAGGGTTTTGTCTAGGGGAGAGTCCTCTAAAAGTTTTAACACCCAAATATTTCTGGAGCAGTTATGTTTACAGAAGAGAAACAGCCACAAACTTTCTCCCACAAATTGTTTCTGGGAAATTATTCCCTGGGTCTGTGGAGACTTTGAACTGATTTTCAGTTCCTGGGAGAAGCTAATCATGATGATATGAAGAAAATAAATAGGGGCCATAGAGATAGTACAGGGGTTAAGGCACTTGCCTTGCACACAGTTGACACCTAGTTCAACCGCTGCACCACATATGGAATGCTGAGTACCGCCAGGAGTGATCCATGAGCACTGAGCAAAGAATAAGCCCTGAGCACAGCAGAGTGTGGTCTCAGACAAACAAAAGAATAAAGAATCAGGGGCTGGAGTGATTGTATAGTGGTAGGGTGCTTGCCTTGCACATGATCAACTAGGGTTTGATCTCCTGCACTCCTTCTGGTCCCCTGAGCATTGACAGGAGTGATCCTTGAGTGCTGAGCCAGCAGAAGACTGGGCACTGTTGGGTATGACCCCCAAACCAAAAATAAATAAATAAATAAATAAATAAAAAGGGCACAGTTGGAGGAGCCTGTATTGTGTGCCTGCTGCTGTTTTGGGAACTTTACGCCATCATCTCCTGCCCCCCACCATGATCTTGCAAGTCAAGTTGGAGAGTCTTACCCTAATTTACAGAGGAGGCTCAGAGAAGGTGAGTCTCCTGTCAGGGAACCAGCCATTCAAGAGTTCCAGACTGCTTGTAGATGGTCACATAATTGCAGTTGCTTATAAATCCCCCTGCTGGGTATTAGTCTTGGTGCTCAAGGCGTAGCCTCTTCACAGTGCCACAATGTCTATATTATGTTTATAAATGATGAAACTATCACCCCCCCCCCCACACACACACACAAGATGAGTCACTAGCAGAGACCCTCAGCTTCCCAGGGCTAGCTAGGTCTGGCTAGAATTTCAGCCTATATCTGCCTCTTCTCTCATAGTTTTGCCTTTAAGCATTTTTTGTCTCTCCTGGTTTCTCCTACAGAAATGGCCAATGGGAAGCAGGTGAGCAAAGTTGAAGAGCTAGCACTTGGATAAATCCCAGAGAGCATTTATTCCAGCAGGCGAGTCTGGGCACCTAGGAGAGTGCCTGCGTGAGTTATGGGGCTGGTAGGAACCCAGACCCAGTTCCCATGTCCTGTGACCTGAGGGTTGGAGTGGCAAGGAGGGGGATGCCCCACTTACTTTTCCTGCCACCAAGAGAAGCAAACACTCCCGCCCTCCTTGCCGGTGTGCTGCAGATGTCATGCGTTCATGTTTGCAAGGATTTCACACATAGGGAGCATGGCATAACTTTGTCGTAGGAGAGTTCCCTCACCAGCTTGTGCTCACTGAGGCCAAAGGGGAGAGATACCCAGATGTGTTCAGGCAGGGAGGATGGATACCTGGGCCCAGTTGGCTTCCTGTTACTTTGTTCCCATTTGTATAATCCTGGAGAGGTTGGGGGTGGGCAACTTTGAGCTAACACTTCTTTTCAATGACACTTGCTCTAATCAGTAAGGACTATGATTGATGTCAACTGTTTGCCCCAAGCAAACGCTGAGGCGTTTATGATCTCTTTTAGGAAATAGGAACAATGACTGCCCCATGTTAGCACTGGTGTATTAAGGGGAGGTCAAACTAACCAGCCAAGTTCCCAATTGCTAGTAACAATTAGTTACAAGATCTGGGGACCTGAAGACTTACCCAAGTCTTCTCACACAGAGGCCTTGACCAGTTGCTTGGAAGGCAGTGGAATATCAGCCACAGGTAGGCAAAACAAGCAGAGGGGGTGTCCCTGATGTGAGGCTTCACCCACTTCAAATTGTGCTCGGCATCCTTGGTCCTTACAACTCAGCAGGCAGGGGTGGTCATGAGAAGCATCTGAACCCTTCCCCTAGTTAGAAGGCAAACTTCGTAGCCTTCCTCAGACTCAGCCTTTCCTTGTGTCTAATAGGGGTGATAACCCCTTCATCTTTCTGAGTGTGTTTGCAACAGTCACACTGAATCAGAGATGGCACAGAAGCCTGTCTCATCACATGGGCACTTGATGAGCCTGTAGTTGGTTCCCCCACTTCAAACCAACCCCACCACAAGCTCCCTCCACTCCCTGAAGGGAGAATTACAGAAAATAAAGCTGAGAAATGCTGCTCATAGTAGCACATAGCAA